GTCTAGCTCACTTCAGTATTCTTTACTTTTTTTTCAAAATACTATAGCTGAAGTAATTAATGCATGTGGTTTCAAAAATCAATTAATATTGAAAGAATTATAATGAAAAACAACTGTCCTCTGGCCATTCCAACCTCCTCCACTCCCATGAGGTAACCACTCTTCAAGCCATTTCTTCTGGATGCTATTTCTATATCTCTAAATAATTTGTATGTTTGTCTATTCTTTGATTTATTGATTTTTAGATATCATCTATTAATGTTATGCTCTGGCAAATGAGGGCTTACCTATCCTAAATGGCCCACCTCCCCTGTCCCTTTTGTCTCAGTGTAGTTAAATCATTTTCCACTACATTGATAACCAGTGTTTACACCATCATAGTTATAGAAATATGTTCATTGGGCTGGGTGCCATGGCTCATGCCTGTAATCTCAGCACTTCGGGAAGCCAAGGATGGAGAATTGCTTGAGCCCACAAGTTTGAGACCAACCTGGGCGACACAGTGAGATCTTGTCTCTACAAAAAATAAAAAAATTAGTCATGCATGGTGGTGCATGCCTGTAATCCCGGCTACTAGGGAGGCTGAGGCAGAAGGATCGCTTGAGTCCAAGAGGTCAAGGCTGCAGTGAGCCCTGATCATGCCACTGCATTCAAGACTGGACAACAGAGTGAGACCCTGACAAAAAAAGAAAGGAAGGAAGGAAAAGAAAAGAAAAAGAAAGAAATATGTTTATTGCATTGCCAAGTAATATACTAGGTATTATTTCTTTCTTTCTTTCTGTTTTTTGGAGACAGGGTCTTTTTTTTTTTTTTTTTTTTTGAGTTGGAGTCTCACTCTGTCACCCAGAATGGAATGCAGTGGCACACTCCCGGCCACCGCAGCCTCAACCTTCTGGGCTCAGGCGATCCTTCTGCCTCCACTTTCCAAGTAGCTGGAACTACAGGCATGCGCTACCACCCCCAGCTAATTTTTTTTGATTTGTTGTAGAGATGAGGTCTTGCCAAGTTGCCCAGGTGGGTCTC